GGGTGGACCAACCCCCAGAATCCTCCAGCGGCCAAGCTTGAGAAACCCTGCCCTGGAGAGACTTCCGGCCCCTGCCCTTTTGACTTTCCACAAAGCCCCGGTGGTTTTCCCAGGCTCTGGTCTAGGAGGGGGTCAAGTGCCTTTGGCCACTGTATGCCAGAGTTGCCGTGGAACTGGGCGGCCCGGAAATTGAAATAAGTTAGCCGACCATGACTTAGTCGAGAAACCATAGTAAAACCAACTAGGCAGGCACATAGCCCAATTTTTAGTTTGATTCTCTCTCAGCCTGATCGTTCTCTCATTATTCCTGACAGTGTGGTTGGCCCTAAATAAAGTTATTGCCCAACTGAGAACTAGCAGACAGACCCCTTTGTTTTATGGACCTCTAATGTGCCCAAAACGACAGACTTTATTCTGAGTACAAGCTATCCTCCCAGCTATCCTCCTTCGATCATTATATCCATCAATAAGTAAAGACACGGAGGTAGAACATCTACATCTATCTATCTATCTATCTATCTGAATAATAATGCTCCCCAGTGGTCTCTACCATCCAACCCAGCACTCAGATGTATGTCAGATCAATAAACACAACGGAAGACTGGGACTTCACTTCTCTAAAAAAAAAAAGGAGAAAAGCATCTACAGAAACATATATGTTTTGGAAAGGTAATGAACGCTACAGCCACGAACATTTTCGGAAGCTTTTGCTGAATGCGTTGCATGGTGCAAATCCAACCTGTGATTCAGCTCTGGGACTCTGCTTTCTGAGACGGGGACGGGTTACACTCCAGCATTTATAGGTAGATTTCTGGATGTCTAACAACCTGCAGGCATTGCAGGACCTCTAACTGTTCCAATAACAAGAAAAGAATGTTATGGGTTTACTTCTACTTTAGGCAGGTCAAACTCAGGAATGTTAATAGTTGGACTTCAACATTCTTATTATTTTAATAGGTTTGCTTCTGAAATTCCTTAAGCGCACAAAGGCTAATAAAACAAAAACAAAAAAACCTCTTGCACTAGATTTTAGCTTAGAAATCAACAGACTGGAGGTATCAGTCTGCATTGACAGACGTAGTGCTGAAACTGAGGGAAGTGAGAGTTCTGCTCTCTGCTGCACGGATCAGGCCACACTGGGAACCCTGCCTCCAGTTCTGGTTT